AAAAATCGTGCTGTGAGACGTCGTCGCATTACCCGTCACCGCAGGAAGAACAGGAGTGGTTAAGTAATTCCAATTTAAGCAAAGAGCGATTTTCAAGGATTTGTTATAAAACTCAATGATTTAATAAAATAGTTAGAAATATTTCCAAATAAATTGATGTGGTTTTATTGCTGAGTAGTGGAGGGTGGGAACGTAAGGGCTTTCCTATTATATAAAAACTGGATGCTTCCTAAGGAAATATTTTTGATAATCTTTCAGATGATGTGATTCTAGAATGCGGAGAAATTTCTTATAGACTACCATGAATGGAGTGTCGTAGGCATATTCGAGGTAAAAAGTATAGGACTTCTGTTGTGAAAGAACTTTCAGCAAGTGGTGTATGATTAGATGCTGTGAATTCAATTACCTATATACCAACTTCCCAAGGCCTGTACGTTTGTAGGTTACCCTCGAGAGATCTTGTAAATATAGATAACCAATGGAAGGTGCTTATGTCTATAAAGAACCTTCAGCTGGCTGTTACTCCATGGGCAATTATTATTAATTATTTTTTTCATACAGAGGACTTTTCAACTATAGAAGTCCTGTAGAAGGACCGTTAAGACTTATCTTAGAGGCAGGTTTCATAGTAGAAATTTTAAAAGTATTTTCGATTGTAAAAATTATTTTCTTAGTCGCAGATCCATCCGTAATAGGTATAGATGCATATTTTTTCGGAGGACCATCCAGACAATAGGTGTAGATTTTTTAAATGACCATTTTGTCACAGGTCTATCTGAGGCGTGGATTTTTTAAATGAATATTTTTAAGAGGACCATCCAGGCGTGAATTTTTTAGATGAATATTTTTTTCAGAGGTCTATCTGAGGCGTGAATTTTTTAGATGAATATTTTTTTTAGAGGTCTATCTGAGGCGTGGATTTTTTAAATGATTATTTTTTCAGAGGTCTATCTGAGGCGTGGATTTTTTAAACGAATATCTTTTCAGAGGTCCATCTGAGGCGTGGATTTTTTAAATGAATATTTTTCCAAAGGTCTATCTGAGGCGTGGTTTTTTTTTAAATTAATATTTTTCAGAGGTCTATTTGAGGCGTGGAATTTTTAAATGAATATTTTTTCAGGGGTCTATCTGAGGCGTGGTTTTTTTAAATTAATATTTTTCAGAGGTCTATTTGAGGCGTGGAATTTTTAAATGAATATTTTTTCAGGGGTCTATCTGAGGCGTGGTTTTTTTAAATTAATATTTTTCAGAGGTCTATTTGAGGCGTGGATTTTTTTAATGAATATTTTTTCAGAGGATCATCAACAACCTTCCTTACTTATATACAGTTTAAAAAGTTGCCAATGATAGTAAACAGCTTACCCTGCAGTTGCAACTTCTTGACAGATTCAATCTCCTTCATTCGTTTAGCTATCAGCGAAAATAACAACATCCATAGCACAGATGTGTCAGGCAGCAACAGTACAGCTTCCTTAGTAACTTGGTCAATATCAGAGGCGAGACAGGATACGATATGGAATCTAAGCAGACGAAAAAATAAAACTAAATAAAAAGGGAATCAGACAAAAATATAAAGACGTCAACAACATTAATACAATTTCATGACATCTGTCCAATATGTCATGACAACTGTGGCTTATATTGCAAAAACATGTTTAAGCCCGGATCACAGCAGGACAATATTGAACTGGTGCTTAATATTGAAAAAGAACGAAAATTCTTCTTTAATAAATCCACGCCTTGGATAGGCCTTGAAAAAAGTCTTCTTTAATAAATCCACGCCTTGGCTAAGCCTTGAAAAAGTCTTCGTTAATAAATCCACGCCTTGGATAGGCCTTGAAAAAAGTCTTCTTTAATAAATCCACGCCTTGGATATGCCTTGAAAAAATATTCTTTTATAAATCCACGCCTTGGATAGGTCTTGAAAAAGTCTTCTTTAATAAATCCTCCAAGGCGTGGATAGGCCTTGAAAAAAGTCTTCTTTAATAAATCCTCCAAGGCGTGGATAGGCCTTGAAAAAAGTCTGTTTAATAAATCCACGCCTTGGATAAATCCACCCCTTGGATAAATCCATCCTTGGATAAATCTACGCCTTGGATAGGCCTTGAAAAAGTCTTCTTTAATAAGTCCACGCCTTGGATAGGCATTGAAAAAAGTCTTCTTTAATAAATTCACGCCTTGGATAAACCTTCAAAAAAGTCTTGTTTAATAAATCCACGCCTTGGATAAGCCTCGAAAAAATATTCCTAAAAAAATGTACGCCTCTGATAGGCCCTGTGCTCTCCCGTCCTCTGTTACACCAAACCCTTGTAATTCATCAATGAATTCGATATGTTCAATGGAAAAATCTCCAGCTGAGTACACATCCACACACAAACAACACATGTAGAAATTTCGAACTTTCTCCGAATATTCTACCGCATGTGGTAAAATGTTATTTCTGTTAATTCTAATCAAATAAACATTAATCTAAATATTATACCAGAGAAAATAGATCATTACAAAATGGGTCGATATCTGCTGTTGTGGCTGTGCGTGTGTGTGTAATTACATGTAACGCTAATAAAACAACAATTAGTTCTGAGAACACACTCCATACCGGGCGCAGATACCAATCCGATGCGATCCGATCATTTTATTATGTTGTTCATACAAGAGGTGGCTCCAATGTGGCCTCAACCGAAGTGTGCATGTGTGGCTGTGTGTAATAGCAATTGTAAGCAGCTTAATGTTAACTTAGTTAATTTCTTTTGTTTGTCTGTAATTTAAATTGGTTTTAGTATTATTATGTTGCCTTGGATAACATCTCATTTAGAAGAGGTATTTTGGCAAAAAATAGGTATATTCCCTTTTTTATGGTAAAAAGCAAAATAAACTAAGTTACAATTCAAATCATATCAAAATAGAAACTTTTGCATATATTAAAGTAGACTTTTTTCAAGGCCTATACAAGGAGTGGTTTTTTTAAAGAAGACTTTTTTCAAAGGCCTATCCAAGACGTGGATTTATTAAAGAAGGCTTTTTTAAGGCCTATCCAAGGGGTGGATTTATTAAAGAAGAGTTTTTTCAAGGCCTAACCAAGGCGTGGATTTATCAAAGAAGACTTTTTTCAAGGCGTGGATTTATTAAAGAAGACTTTTTTCAAGGCGTGGATTTATCAAAGAAGACTTTTTTCAAGGCGTGGATTTATTAAAGAAGACTTTTTTCAAGGCGTGGATTTATTAAAGAAGACTTTTTTCAAGGCGTGGATTTATTAAAGAAGACTTTTTTCAAGGCGTGGATTTATTAAAGAAGACTTTTTTCAAGGCGTGGATTTATTAAAGAATATTTTTTCAAGGCGTGGATTTATTAAAGAATATTTTTTCAAGGCGTGGATTTATTAAAGAAGACTTTTTTCAAGGCGTGGATTTATTAAAGAAGACTTTTTTCAAGGCGTGGATTTATTAAAGAAGACTTTTTTCAAGGCGTGGATTTATTAAAGAAGACTTTTTTCAAGACCTATCCAAGGCGTGGATATATTAAAGAAGTCCTTTTTCAAGGCCTATCCAGGGCGTGGATTTATTAAAGAAGTCCTTTTTCAAGGCCTATCCAGGGCGTGGATTTATTAAAGAAGACTTTTTCAAGGCCTATCCAAGGCGTGGATTTATTAAAGAAGACTTTTTTCCAGGCCTATCCAAGGCGTGGATTTATTAAAGAAGACTTTTTCAAGGTCTATCCAAGGCGTGGATTTTTTAAAGAAGACTTTTTTCAAGGCCTATCCAAGGCGTGGATTTATTAAAGATTCATTTTCCAAGGCCTATCCAAGGCATGGATTTATTAAAGAAGAATTTTTTCAAGGAATATTTTTTTGAGATCATGTCTTATTTTTTTGAATTTATTATTTTTCGTTCCGCTAGGATGTTGGCTTAAAAATGTTGTGGCAATATATGCCACAGTTGCAATGACATATTGGACAGATGTCATGAAATTTTATTAAAGTTGTTGACGCCTTTATATTTTTGACTGATTCCCATTTTTATTTAGTTTTCTTCTTTTTCGTCTGCTTAGATTCCATATCGTATCCTGTTTCGCCTCTGATATTGACCAAGTTACTAAGGAAGCTGTGCTGTTGCTGCCTGACACATCTGTGCTATGAATGTTGTTATTTCCGCTTATAGCTAACCGAATGAAGGAGGTTAAATCTGTCAAGAAGTTGCAACTGCAGGGTAAGCTGTTTACTATCAGTGGCAACTAAATGTTCATTTAAAAATCCACGCCTAGATGGTTCTCTGAAAAAATATTCATTTAAAAATCCACGCCTAGATGGTTCTCTGAAAAAATATTCATTTAAAAAATCCACGCCTTTTGCATGGATGGGATGGTCCTCTGAGAAGATACTCATCTATACCTATTATGGATGGATCTACGACGCAGAAAATAATTTTTACAGTCTAAAAGATTTTTAAAATTTGTACTATGAAACCTGCGGTAAGTCTTTACGGGCCGAATGCCCTATACAGGACATCTATAGTTGAAAAGTCCTCTATAGGGAGAAAATAATTCATAATAATTGCCCATGGTTTTAAAGCCAGCTGAAGGTTCTTTATAGACATAAGGACCTTCCACTGTTTGTCTTTATTTACATAATTGACTCTCGAGGGTAACCTACAGGCCTTATAAAGGTGGTATATAGGAAAATTAGATTCACAACATCTATTGTTACATTACTGGCTGAAAGTTTTTCCTCAACAGAAGTCCTATAATTTTTCCCTCATAGTTGCCTAAGACCCTCCATTGATGGTAATATATAAGAAATTCCTCCGCACTCTAGAATCACATCATCTGAAAGATTAGAAAGAATCACGGTTTTGTATGATAGAGAAAACCCTTACGTTTCAACCCTCCACTACTCAGCAATAAAACAAATTAAATTTATTTGGAAATATTTCTAATTGTTTTATTAAATCATTGAGTTTTATACCAAATCCTTGAAAATCGATCTTTGTTCAAATTTCATTCCCTTAACCACTCCTGTTCTTCCTGCGGCGACGGGTAATGCGACGACGTCTCACAGCACGATTTTTACGTTGGCGGCGTAGCCTGCGATTGCGGCGGATTTTGCGGTTACGATGAGCTGCCTTCTTGCGACGGTTACGACGATTACGTCTTTGGCGACGGCGAGTACGACGCATACGACGACGGCGGCGAGCACGTTCTCCCTCATCATCTTCATCATCGACCAGAGCATTCTCATCCTCATCAAGGGAGGCGGCTTCAATTTCATTCTCCTCAATTTCATCCAGAGCCAAGGCACGGGGAGTTGGTGATGGGGCTGTTGGTGCTGGGGCTGTACCTGTTGGGGCTGGTGCTGGTGCTGTAGCTGTTGGTGCTGGCGATGGCGCTGTAGCTGTGGGTGCTGGTGCCGAAGCTGTGGGTGCTGGTGCTGTTGCGGCCGGTGGTGAGGTTGGTGCTGGAGCTGTTGGGGCTGGAGCAGTGGCAGTAGCTGTCGCCGTGGCTGTTGCGGTTGGTGTAGCACCACCGCTTCCAGTGGGTGAAGTACCACTGCCAGTAGGTGCAGTACCTGTACCAGTGGGTGAAGTTCCAGCACCAGTTGATGTTGTAGTAGCCGTATTAGTTGGTGCTGTACCTGTACCAGTGCCTGTGGTGGTTGGAGTTGTTGGCGTGGTCGGTGCAGTGGGTGCTGTTGTCGTTGTAGTGGTGGTAGGGGCAACAGTTGGTGCGGTGGTACAGAATTGGGTCTTACCCATGGCACAAAGTTTGGCAGCAAAACCGCCGCCACCATTGGCACCACCTTTGCCACCAAAGAAGAAGCCATTGACCACGGCATTAGAACCCAAAAGGGCTACACACAGCACAAGAAATGTTAATTTCATGTTTGGAACTCCCTGTCTTCGCGAGTCAGATGCTTTGAGGAGTTATCAAATGAATTTGATGTTGTTATCGGAATTTTCGAAGGTTTATATAGTGATGGCAATACGAAAATTAGGAAATTTTTGTAAGTTGTTCTTTGGGGTATAGAAGTTCCGTTTGTTCACACAAATGCATTTGTTCAAACAGACTAGAATTGGGTCAATGAGATGAATGGGTAAGGTAACCTAACAGCTGTTTTTTTATAATTTTTTGGTGGGAGGTTTATTTTGTGTTTGGATTAAATTGTTAAAAACATAGATAGGTAACATCCAATTTTCAGTATTTTGAACGTATAAGCGGTATTTTCAATATTTGTCTGTAAAATATTTGGCTGTAAAACTTCCTCTCAGAAAATATTCATGGTAGGTCCAAATTCTCATATAGCTGTTTGATGGATTAGGGTTTGCAAATCATATTCCATATGTTTTAGGTTCGAATTTTCCAACTAGGTTAAATAATCCATATAAGGTTCCGAACCAATTATAAATATTAAAGGTTAAAAGGTCTACTGAACTACAAAGACTGTTTATAAATTTAAAAACCAGTAAGGAAAGTAGTAAAGTCGGACGGGGCCGACTATATGATACCCTTCACCACTATGGGTATATTAAACAGGACTCTTAACATGAAATTGGATGAAATAAAATATGTGATATTTATCTACATGTGAATCTACCTAGATCTATCCATAAAGTATGTAAATCGACTTCAAACAAATAAAAATAGGTCATCTGTTGGGCTATGTCTGTACTTCTACAAAACCCAACTACGTAATTCTATGCTCAATTTTGTAAGTTGTGCAAAATTTGATGTCAATCTGACTAACATGATTAGTTTGATGCCCAATTTACTTGAAATCAGGCAAAAAAATATATATGGAAGCTCTATCCAAATATTAAGCGATTTCAAACAAACTTGTCACTGGTTAGGTCATACTAATTTCAGAACGTTTTGTTCCTACCAGCATATTGGTTCCTTGGTGCGTCAATTACTTAAAATCAATCTAAATTAAAAGGGAGCTATATCTAAATCTGAACCCATTTTCACGAAACAAGGCAGATATCACTCTAGGCTCAATTCAGTACGTTATGCCAAATTTCGTGCAAATCGAAAGATATATAGCGACTTTGGTGCACCATTTACATGAAATCGGACGAAACTATATATGTGAGCTATATCGAAATCAGTACCGATTTTCTCGAAACTTGGCAGACATCACTCTAGGCTCATTTCAGTACGTTATGCCAAATTTCGTGCAAATCGAAGGATATATAGGGTCTTTGATGCACTATTTATATGAAATCGGACGAAACTATATATGGGAGCTATATCTAAATCAGGACCGATTTTCACGAAACTTGGCAGACATCATTCTAGGTTCAATTCAGTACGTTATGCTAAATTTCGTGCAAATCGAAAGATATATAGGGACTTTGGGGGCAACATTTACATGAAATCGGACGAAACTATATATGGGAGTTATATCTAAATCTGGACCGATTTTCTTGAAACTTGGCAGACATCACTCTAGGCTTAATTCAGTACGATATGTCAAATTTCGTGCAAATCGAAAGACATATGGGGACTTTGGGGCACCATTTACATGAAATCCGACGAAACTATATATGGGAGCTATATCTTAATGTGGACCGATTTTCACGAAACTTGGCAGACATAATTCTAGGATCAATTCAGTACGTTATACCAAATTTGGTGCAAATCGAAAGATATATAGGGACTTTGGTGCACCATTTACATGAAATCGGACGAAACTATATATGGGAGCTATATCTAAATCTATACCGATTTTCACGAAACTTGGCACATATCATTCTAGACCTAAATGATTAGGCTGTACCAAATTTCGTGCAAATCGAGTAATATATAGGGACCGTTTACATTAAATCGGTAAAATATATATATGGGAGCTGTATCTAAATCTGAACCGATTTTTCCCAATTTCAATAGGGTTCGTTCTTGGGCCAATTAAATGAGCTGTTCCAAATTTCGTCCCATTTGGATCATAAATGCGACCTGTACTTTGTTTACAATTTAACATGTACAGACATACAGACAGACAGACGGACGGACATGCATAAATCGACTTAGAAAGTGATTCTATGCATATTCTCAAAAGGAACCATGGGTCTATCTCGATTATTTTTGCCTGTTACAAACATATGCACAAAGACATAATACCCTGTACCACAGTGTGGTGAAGGGTATAAAAACCAGTAAGGAAAGTAGTAAAGTCGGACGGGGCCGACTATTTCATAACCGTTACCACTTTGGGTATATTTAGAAGATGCATCGTAACAGACGTCACATTTTTAAACGACTTTTGAGATGAAATTGAATTAAATGAAATATGAGATCTGTATTTATATGTGAACCGACTTAAATCAATCCTTACTCACCTATACACATTTTCATTTCATTAGGATAGATTTAGGGTAGTTTTGCACAATGGAACAAAATGTTATAAACTGTGCACAATTTGATCCAAATTGGACAGCAGATCATTATATGGGAGCTGCATCTAAATCTGAACCGATATCAATAAAACTTGGTACACATTAGGCTATACTAACTTCGTATTGACAGTATGTTGTGCAATATTTCGTGCCGATCGGCCTAACATTTGACTCTTTGGTGAACCATTTACATAAAATCGGACGAAAATATATACGGTAGACATATCTAAATTTGAACCGATTTTCACGAAGCGTAGCAGACATCATTCTAGACTCAATTCAATACTCTATGCCAAATTTCGTGCAAATCGAAAGAAAAACAGGGGCATTGGTGTTCCATTAACATTAAATCGGACGAAAATATAATTAGACCTATATCGAAATCTAAATCGATTTTCACGATTCTTAGCACATATCATTCTGGACTCAGTTCAGTACGCTATGATAAATTTCGTGCAAATCGAAAGAAATGTAGGGGCTTTCTTGCACTATTTACCTAAAATCGGACGAAAATGAGTATGGGAGCAATATCTAAATCTGAACCGATTTTCACATTTTACACATCATTGTGGTCTTAATTTAGTCACTGTACCAAATTTCGTGCAAATCGAATCGGAGTTTAGTGCGCCATTCACATTAAATCGGATAAATATCTAAATCTGAACCGATTTTTCCCAATTTCGGTAGGTTTCGTCATTGGGCCAAATAAATTAGATGTGCCAAATTTCATGCAAATCGGATCATAAATGCGACGGATGGATGGACGGACATGCATAAATCGACTCAGAGAGTGATTCTATGAATATTCTCAAAAGGAACCATTTGTCTATCTTGCTTCCTTTTGCCTGTTACAAACATATGCACAAGGGTATAACAAGATTTATAGGCGATCCGGCTTCTGTCCAGCTCATCCAATTTGATAGACCATGTTGCGAGATGTTGCCTTCCACTAGATCTTTTTATCGACTTCGTGACCTTCCTCTTCTACGTGAACCATCAGTTGGCTCGCTTTTGTATGCCTTTTGAGCTGGGGCATCCTCACCCATTTGCACAAAATAACCTAGCTAACGTGGTCGCTGCAGTTCGATACGTCTGACTATGTCGGTGTCCGAGAATAGATGGTACAACTAATGGTTCATTCGGTGGCGATATTCACCGTCGACGCAGGTCTCCAATAGATCATTCGGAGAATATTTCTCCCATACATTTCAACAGCGGCCTCATCTGCTTGCACAAGTACCCATGTAGAGTGTGAGTTTGGTCTGGCGGGAGGTGGCCTTGTTCTTTTACTGCTTACTCAGATCATAGTAGCATCTTTTGGCCAACACTATTCTCCTCCGGATTTCAAATCTGATGTTATTAGATTTGTTTACAGCGGTACCGAGGTATACCTCGAAGTTGTAGTTTCCAAATTTCACAGCTAGTTCGAGTCTACTGGACGTCTTGCGCGTTGATACCATCAGCTGAGTCTTCTCGCCATTTACTGTCTGTTCCACTCCTTCTTAATTCGTTCAAAGGTCGAACTTAATTCGTTCAAGCGGCTGTTACCGCTCATAAAGTTCGACCCATTATGTCGATGTCGGTGGCGTAGGCGAGTAATATGTGCTGTTTGGTGTACAGAGTGACATTTTTGATCACATTTGCATCTGGTATGACCTTTCAAACAGGATGTTAAACAGGTCACACGACAAACTATCACATTGCCTGAATCCTCCTTCTGTATTAAAGGACTCTGAGAGGTGCTTTCCGACTTTAACTGCAGGCCGAACGCAGACATGGCTTTGAACACCTAGGTCTGTCGAATGTGGCTTTATAGGTGAAATGTCATGTATTTTTCGTAGGTCTATTCCAGGATTTGGCGCAGTATGAAAATCTGGTCAATGGTGGATTTGCCAGGCCTGAAGCTGCATTGGTATTATCCAATAATGTCATTGACCATTGGCTTCAGTCGTTCACACAGTACGCTGGATAGCACTTTATATGCGATGGGAAGAAGACTAATTCCTATATAGTTGGCACATATCGTCTTGTCTCCATTTTTGTTGGTGCGGCTTAAAAAATTCACTCATTTTTGAGTTTTATTTAATGTAATTTTTAATCATGGTCCTTGAAGTAATATTCTTTAAAAAGTCTACGCTTATGCTTGTTAAAAAAAAAATAATAAAAATTAAATATAAAATAACATATTGCAACAATGTTTGTTAATTTTCCAAAGTATTTTGAATTAAAATTAAAAAAAATCAATCTTATTATTTATTTCCCACAATAATCGTATGAGGCAACCAGTAACAAAAACCGCATGCAAAGTAACCACAAAAATTTTATTCATTTTGTTTTTCTATCCCGACTTCTCTACCTCCATCCTTCCCTCCACCTTCTGACAAAAAAGTCACAACAACCTTGACAACTATGACTACCACATATATGTGTGACAATGATGATGGCCAACAATTTCCGATTTTGAGCTGACAAGAAAGTCAGGCCCAAAG